GGGCTTGAGTGTCTGTCTCCTCATTAGAGAGAGATTGGAGTGGGATCTTGGGGAAAGAGCCTCTGTCTGCTTTTAGTACAAAGCTTGAGTCTTCAGGTCGAAACGAACGGGATCCTCAGCTCCCGTGGACAAGGGCGTTATATTCGGGTTGGGGCCAAAGTCTCGGATACTCAGCATTCATTTGCCTTTCCTGTCCAGCACACCCAAGGACTACAGCAAGGCCATCAGCAACAACAGCTCATGGCACAAATGCGGGGGGGCGGGGGGTGGGGGTGGTAGACCCCTCTGCAGAAAGAAGGCAAAGCTGCAGGAGCTTGGATCATTTGCAGAAGCCTTCCCTTGTGAACTACTGCTCTGCAGTTGGTTCTGTGACCAGCTAGGATTTACTGTGGGAATGCTGGCATTTTTAGAATGAGCAGCTCTATTAACAAAATGTTATCACGTTAACATGTCAAATAAGAAAACCCAAATGGTCATTTTTATGGAGGCCGAGAGAGCATTCGATAAAGTTTAATGTCCTTTTCTGATCAAAATTCTTTTTTAAAAATAAAAAATACTTCGTTAACAGCATAAAATATACCTATCAGTGTCTTCGCTTAAAAAGTCAGAATCGACACAAGCAAGCCAGTCATCAGGATTATTACCTAACACTATACAAGATTTAATGGCCAAGGAGATGGTTAAACCAGTGATAGAATTTTCCAAGAAATTTTTTCGAAGAGAGTTTCTGAATTACCGTTATTTGTAGAACACCAGTCTGAGAGACTGAATTCACAAATCACTATTTGCCGAAAGTCAAGAAAATCAACTCAGAAAATAATAGACCTCATAAAAGTTCTTAAATTCTTAAGGTAGGGGGTGCCTGGGTGGTTCAGTTGTTAAGGGACTGCCTTCGGCTCAGGTCATGATCCCAGGGTCCTGGGATCGAGCCCCAGGCTCCCTGCTCGGCGGGAAGCCTGCTTCTCCCTCTCCCACTCCCCCTGCTTGTGTTCCCTCTCTCGCTGTGTCTCTCTCTGTCAAATAAAATCTTTAAAAAAAAAAAAAAATTCTTAAGGTAGCCGTTTACAAATATGCCCAAACAAGTGGCTCTTCTGTATGTCAGCAATAACGAATGTGTTTTTTTTTATGTCAAAAAAGATTCCATTCACAATAGTAACAAGAAAATAAAATACTTAGGAATAAATTTAAACAAAGCCAATGCAAATATTTTGTAAAAAATATTAAAAATTTTTCAATGGTCACAAAAGAAGACATTAAAAAGAGAAGGTATACCATGTTCTAGATGGAAGGACTCAATTATTATAAAAAGACCACCTCTCTTCAAATCTATAAATTTAAATTTCCATCAAAATCAAAATAAGATTTTTTTAAATGACAAAATGATTCTGAATTTCATCTACAAAAATGAATGCAAAAATTCAAACCAAGGAAGCCGCCTTTTAGCCACCACACTGTAGAAGAAAAGAGAATTTCTCCCTAAATTAGTGTGCCCCATGGAAGCACTTTTCCAGCCTTTATAAATCCGCGCCCCTGTCTGTTAAATACAAATCCATCTCTCCTTCCAGTCCTAGTCCTATCTCTCCACTCCAGATGCAGCTGTCATGAAGGGAAGGAGTAAACAGGACCATGAGCGAGGGACAGGAGAACTCAGAGCACCACCAACCTGGCACTAAGTTTGCCATTTCCCCCCTCTGGTCTCTCCTGGCCTGGACTCCAAGCAGACAGAGACCTGGACCTGCAGACCAGATGCAGACCAAAAGAGAAAAGCTATTTCCTGCTTTAGGAAAAGCAAAGAGGGCCCTGTAGGTCAGAGAGTGGGGGAAATTCCGTTTGTTATTGCTTCTCCCCTCCCCCACAGCAGCCCCTTGGAAAGCCCACTGGGGCAGGGGCTCTTGCAGCCAGGCCGGTGCCTAACACTACAGGGAGAAAACTCTTCTCTCCGTCCAGAGGAAGTGTGGTCCCGGCAGCAAGAGAGTGATGACAATTGCTTTCTCTCTCCCTCTTGCTTTTCTTATTTAACCTCTTTTTTTTTTTTTAAGATTTTATTTATTTATTTGAGAGAGAGAGAGAGAGAGCACATGAGAAGGAGAGGGCCAGAGGGAGAAGCAGACTCCCCGTTGAGCAGGGAGCCCGATGCGGGACTTGATCCTGGGACTCCAGGATCATGACCTGAGCCGAAGGCAGTCACTTAACCAACTGAGGCACCCAGGCGCCCCGTTATTTAACCTCTTGATATGATAATATTTTGTTAATAGGACGTTGACCCCAAAGGGAAATTTGAAACTTCAGGAATGAAAGAAGAGCAACAGAAATGGGAACTATTTGGGTAAATATAATCGATTATTTTCTCATCTTGAGCCCATTATAACATGTATAATGTAAGTTTCATTTCCACAACATTGTCTGATGAGGTTTTAGTGAATGTAGATACAGTACATATGAAAATTATAAGAGGTAGGGTATAGGGATCTGTATGGTAGTAAGATTTCTATACTTCACTTGAAGTGATAAAATATTAATCCTAAACAGACTATGAAAAGTGAAGTGTTTTGAAATCCCTAGAGAAACCACATTTAAAAATTACACAAAAGATACAGTAAAAAAACTAATAGGTAACTTAAAATGGAATACGAAAAAATATTCAGCTAAACCAGAAGAAAAGAGAAACCAGGAATGAAAAACATAGGGAACAAATAGAAAACAAATAATAAAACAGTAGCCCTATATCTAAACATGTCAACAATTAAATTCAAAAGACCTAAATTATGCTAGTTAGATTGTCAGGATGTTAAAAAAAAAATTAAACACAAAAAAAACCCCTTAAAACCTAACTATTTGCTGTGTATAAGAAACCCATTTTAAGTAAATAGTGTAAGTTAAAAATAAAAGGACAAAAAATAAAAAAATACCATGCAGATATTAATAAAGGAAAGCTGGAGTGGCTATATTAATATCAGACAAAACTGACCCCAGAGCGAGGATATTTACCAGCACAGAAGAAGGACACTATAGAATGACAAGGTCAACACACAAAGAAGACATAGTAATCCTAAATGGCTATATACCTAACAACAAATATTCAAACTACATGAAGCAAAAACTGGTAGAATTGCAAAGAGAGATGGCAGATCAGCATACAATTATAGTTGGAGATTCAACACTTACTCTTTCCTCATAACCAATCATAGAGTAAATAGACCATATTCTGGATCATAAAACCAATCTCAACAAATTTCGAGGAATTAAAATTATACACAATATGATCTCTGACCACAAAGGAATGAAGCCAGAAATCAATAACTGGGAAATAAAAATTCTAAATACTTGGAAACGAACATATTTCTAAGTAATCCCTGGATCGAAGGGGAAGTCTCAGGGGATATTAAAAAATTAGAACATAGTCTTGGGGCGCCTGGGTGGCTCAGTCGGTTAAGCGACTGCCTTCGGCTCAGGTCATGATCCTGGAGTCCCGGGATCGAGTCCCGCATCGGGCTCCCTGCTCGGCAGGGAGTCTGCTTCTCCCTCTGCGCCCCCCCCTCATGTGCTCTCTCTCTCTCATTCTTTCTCTCAAATAAATAAATAAAATCTTAAAAAAAAAAATTAGAACATAGTCTAAACTGAACAAAAACAAACATACAACATGTCAAAATGTATAAGTGCAGCTAAAGCAGGGCTTTGATGGAAATTTGTAGCATGAGAAATTAGGGAGGAAGAAAGGTCTCAGATCAATAATCTCAATTCCAAACTTAAGCTCTAGAAAAATAAGAGAAACCTAAAGCAAGCAGAAGAAAGAAAATTGTGCTGCGTGAAGGAAGCCACTCTCAAATTTACATACTGTATGATTCCACTTACATGGCATTATGGAAAAGGCAAAACCATAGTTAGGAAAAACAAATCAGTGTTTGCTAAGGATTGGGATGGAGGAAGCATTCAACAGCAGGGAAGCATGGGGGAGTGTTTTGGGGTGGATGGACCTGTTTGGAATCCTTATTGTGGTGGTGGTTACATAACTCTATGTGGAAACTCACGGTACATATACTCCCTCAAAAGTCTATAATAATAGTTCTTAAAAATCTCGGTCTCTCTCTCTCTCTCGATGTCTTTCTCAGTGTATAGACTGTGTCTGTTTACCATTAGGTACCCACGGCTGACAGGATGCCAGCTACAGTAGCACTAAATATATTTTTTAAATGGAGAAAAGCCATTCATTCAGAAACGACTCACTGTACTCAGAAGATGGGGTCCAACATGCCTCATTGTAATGGTCACGGCTAACCATTTTTGGCTGCTTTTAGTTTTAAGGACAGAAAAGATTCTAGACGGGTTATCCTACTGCATTTATAACTCCGATTATATACAATAATACGCTCTGTGGCTATTTTTATTACTTAAAAATTTCAGTTCTTTTTGGTTCTTTCACGCGGCAAACGTTCTTAAAAGTAGAGGCCAGCCGCGCGCCTTTACAGGTAAAATATGGCAGTGCGGGAGAATGGCCAGCAGATGGAGACAGAGAACACACAAAGCCATTTAGACCCCAGGCTGTTTCTCGGGCTCACCTAGCACCTGGATTTCAGATAGCTCTCAGTAGAACACTGATTCGCAAACCTGGCTGAATTGCAATCCCCTGAGGAACTTTAAAACCTACAGAATCTGAGTTTAGCGGTCTGGGGTGCCGTCTTGCCACGAGCAGGTTTAAAATCTGCACAAGTGATTCTAATTACAGCGAAGTTTGAGACCCCCTACCTAAGCACGAGCAACACCAGCGGTGAGTTTCAGAATCACCTGGAGAACTTGTGAAAACCAGAGACTCAGGCTGTTGTAGTCTTCACTCTTTTGAGAACCAGTGCATACTGAAATGGTGACATATTAAACTTAATAGAGTTAAATATATAATCAGGACTGAATCTGATATCATCTCATACTAGATTCTAATATATCAGTAACTTCAGGCATCAAATGTTAAGAAAATCTTATAGGAGATAAATCTTAATTGAAAAAAACGCTAATCATGGACTTCATTTTTCCCCTGGGTCAGCTGGGACCATCTTGTGGGACGCAGGAAGAGGTCTCCTCTCCAGAGAAGCACAAGTTTCTGTCAGGTTCCAGGAATATTAATAGTCATACCTGGTCATTTCGTGGAGGGGCATTAGGAAAATGTTGAGCTCCTTGGGCGACTGGATTTCCAGCCTTCATGAGGTATGCTCCCCAGATTTATTTTCACTTTCTTTCACCAAAGTGTTTAAATTATTTTAATATTAGAGGCAGCATAGATTAATTTTCTAAGTAACATTTATCTCTTTTCCATATTATAAAAGCAATGAGTCTTCACTGTAGAATTTTTGCAAAAAACCCCAATAAGTCTGTGTAAGTAAAAATGACTTGTGATGATTGCTATTATCATTTTGGTATGTTTCATGTCAGACTTTTGGTGATACGTGCGTGTGTGAGTATGAGTATGTGCCATCCACGTGGACTCACATGAGCACTCTTCCATATATATTGTGGGAAATCAGTCTACAAAACTGTGATCATAACCGTGTCGTTTTTGGTAGTCTGCTATTTTACTTAATAACCTCTCATGAGCATTAAATATTTTCCTAAAACCGATTTTAATGACTCAAGAGTTGTCCACAGTATAGCAATACATCGCATTTTAACCAGTTCTCTCTTGCTGGACATTGTTTTCCAATTGTTGACTTCCATGCGACTCTTTAACAGATGTTAAATTTTATTTGGATGTGTGATATGAGGCAGAGATGTAACTTGATGTCTTTCTGATTGTCTCTGGACCACTGCTTTAATAATCAAACCATCCTTCCCCTGGGTTTGACGTGCCTCCTTGCTCAGATCCTACCTGCTTATATTCTTTCAGGGCTGTGGTTGGTTTCCCAGTCTCTTCCCCATTCTGCCCCTCTCTCCTGGTGCTAGTCAGTGTATTGACAGCCAAGATGGCGAGCGGGGCAGTGGTCACTTTGGGAACGAGACTGATGCTAGAACGGGGACAACCTGGAGGGCTCTGCCAGGCTGCCTGGATACAGGATCTCATTAGCTTCCATCACTCTTTACGCACATGGCCATCAGTCCCCTCTGGCCACAAGTCCCTAAGCCCAGGCCCTTAGGGACTATGACAACAGCCTCCAAAGAAGGGGCTCCCACCGCTAGCAGGTCTGTAGGTCTTCTTGCCTTTTTTGCTGGCTGCTTGGCTCATCCTCCACAGGGCTCCACGGAGCCCTTCCCATGGCTTGGCTGCCTACCAGCCCCTTCCCCACCCCAGCTCCTGCGTGGGCTCCAGCCATGTGGGCTCCAGGCGTGTGCAGGCCTTTGGTCAGTCCCCATGCTCCCTCCCAGCCCTTCAGTCTCTGCCTGCCAAAGCTCCCATACCCGCTTCAGTTCCCAGCAGACACACCATTTCCTCCGGGCCACCTTCCCTGAGCACCGGTGACATGGGATGTTTGCCATGCTCAGCCCAGAGGGTTTTACAGGGGGGAATGAAATGATCAAGCCCCTAGCAGAGTGCCGAGCACTAACAAGACATAAATGAACGCTAGCTGTTGTCATGGTGTTCATTATGATCCTTATCATATCACTCGCCACACTGTATTACAATTGCCCTTTTGCTTGGCCGTCTTCCTACCAGACTGTGAGCAACTTGAGAGTCAGCATCGTGCCTTACCCACCTTTTTCTCTCCCCCACCAAGCCTTGGACCAGGCACAGAGCAGGCGCTCGGCAAGTGCCTGTGTGAATGAAGTGTGAAATATCCCTATTTCACAGATGAGCAAACTGAGTCACACAGAGGGAAAAATTACTTGCCCCAAGTGACGCTTGTCAGTAAGGGGCAGAGCGGGGATTGAATTCAGGTCTTGGAGGCTCCTTCGTCCAGTGATGTGTCCCTCTCCCCTGCTGTTACCCTGAGGCCAGATATAGAAGAAATGAAGATACAGAGAGGAGTGATTTTCCAGCTTGTTATGTTTTGCTGGGTTTGACCCTGGTCTCCCCACCTACGGGGATAATTCAGGCCCTCATGGGAAGACCTTCCTACAGCCTTGCTGTCAGGAGGGCGGGCTGCGACGTCAGAGCTGACAGCAGCCCTTCTCCGTCAGCCAGTCCACCCTCCTCACCTCTTCACCTCAAGGCAATCCAAGACCCGGAGAGGGAAGTCAGTCACCCACAGTCACACAGCAGAGCTGGACTCCCTTTACAGTGCTCCTCTCGCCCCAGGAAGTGAAGAGACGTCAGCATGGCTGAGCAGTGGAAGGGGGCTCGGTTATTTACGGGGCAATGGAAGGCTTCCGTGGGAGCCTCCAGAACAAGCAGTGGAGCTTCGGGACAGGCCCTCCCGAGATGGCGCAGCCCACGCCAGGGTGGAGGGGGAGGAGAGCTCAGCGGGCGGAGGGCGCACAGTCGGGGCCCCACCCAGGGGGCCGGTTATAGTCTCTGCCCTGCCAACTGTTGACGGGCCGTGCCCTTTATAGCTTCTTCAAGAGGAGGACAATTACCTTCCGCAGCCTGAAGATTTATGGCTGAAGAAGGGACGAGGGACATTCCACTCCACTCAGGCCCTTTGAAAGTGGATTTACATGATTGATGTCTAGGTTGGGGCCCTTTGCCTTTAGCTGCAGAAGGACGGTCACTCACAGTGCCCCCTTTTCTGCCAACACCTGCCGGCTCCAGGGCCGCAGCTAGGGAATGAAGCACGTTGGGGCTAGGTGGGGAAACACGGCGGGGCATGGCCAGTCCACCAGCGTGGATGCGCACCTGACCCTCACTGGTCCGGGAGGCGCGGCGGGCAGGGCCTGCTGGCCGCCCCAGGATTAGTGCTGGGACTCAGAAGACGACGGTCCGGCAACAGCTGGGCTTGCCTACCTGGCTCCCGTCCCTCCGGAGACCAGCAGGCATTCTCTCCCTCACTCATAACCCTTCCCCACCCACCCAACAAACCCACAGGCAAGCTGCAGCTTGAGGATACAGAGACGGATCGTATACTGGCCCTGGGCTGGAGGAGCTCATGGACTGGCCAGTAAACATAAGGTTACAGTCAGTGTGGAGGAGGGGTCCCAGCCAGCCCCCCGGGGGGGGAGCAGAGAGCAGTCAGGGGAGGGGGACCGGTGTGTCTGAAGGCATGGAGTGGTGGGGCAAGGGGCCACACGAGTCAGGGAGCGGACGCGGCTGGACGGAGGCAGGCGGGTGGAGGTCACAGAAACCTGTGTGCATCCCAGGGAGTTGGGATTTTGTGGAGGGCCACAGGGAGCCATGAGGGGCTTTCAAGAAGAGTGCGGGTGACACCACCAGACTTGCTCTAAGGTGGCAGCATGGAGGATGAGTTAGACAGAGGTACTATGGCTGTGCTTGTAATCAGCTGGGAGCCGTGGAGAGGCTGACACCTGGGTCCACCCCACCCCCGCCTGCCCAGAGAGGCTGCTGTAATGGGTCTGGGGGGTGGCCTGGGCCCTGGGATGTTGAACCTCCTTCTCCCTGTGAGTCCGATGTGCAGTTGAGGGGGACCCACTGGAGAGACATCCCGGGTAGGAAGCATGTGGCCATCCAGGTGAGAAGCGGCCGGGCGGTTTCTGGAGATGCAAGAAGGAGAACACCAGCCCATGGTGGAGGGTTGGATATGACTTCTTAGAGAAAAGGGAGAGCCTGGCAGTTCTTCAAAAGGTTGGACATCGAGTTACCATATGTCCCAGCAACTTAGGTCTATACCCCAGAGAAATGAAAACATACATGCACACAAAAACGATCCAAATGTCCATCGACTGATGAATGGATAAATAAGATGAAATTCATGCAATGAAGTGTCATTCAGTAAAAAGAGGAATGAAGTACTAATACCTACTGCAACATGAAGGAGCCTTGAAAACATTATGCTAACTGAAAAAGTCACAAAAGACCACGTATTGTCTGATTCCATATATATGACACGTCCAGAATAGGCACATGTATCAGACAGAAAGTAGATTATTGGCTGCCTAGGCCTCGGGTGCGGGGGAGACTAGGAGCTGATGCCTAATGGCTATGGGGTTTTTGAGGGGAGAGGTAAGGAAAATGTTCTAAAATTGATGGTGGTCACATGATGAACCCCCACCTGATTAGGAAGAGCTACTGAATTGCACACTTGAAGTGGATGAGTTGTACGGTATGTGGATTACACCTCAATAAAGCTATCAGAAGGAGAAAGGGAAGGCTCAGGCATGATCCTTGGTTTCCTGACAAGATGGTGGCCTCAGGAATCAGGTCGCAGGCACAAGGAGAGGAGCAAGTCGGGGACGGTGTGATGTGGATGTATTCACTCGTTCGGCAAATGTGTTTTGAGCACCAGGCAGTGGGGTACAACAGTGAACAAAACAAACATGCCTTCCCTGTGGGGAAGAGAAAATAATACAGTAACTTAGTGTGTCAGGCCGTCGGTGAGGTGGGGACCCCTATAACACGGGAGGAGGATGGAGAACGCTGGACCAGGCTACAGTTTTAGATGAGGCGGTGGGGAAGCCTCCCTGCAAGGGTGACATTTGATGGCAAGTAGGGGCAAGGCTCTGAGGAACAGGAGGTGGAACAGAGAGCAGGAACAGAGCCAGGAGGGCCTTGTCCTCCCCCAGCCCCTGAGGACTCTGGGCCCACTGTGAGCAAGATGGGCAGCCTGAGAGGGTCGTGAGCAGAGCATTGCCATGAGCTACCTCCCTTGTATAAGACTCCCTCTACCTCTGGTTTCTCAGCCTCGATGTTTTCGACCGTGGGGCAGGGTAATTCCTTGTTGTGGAGACAATTCTCTGCATGTGGGTTGTTTAGCAGCATCCCTGACCTCTACCTAAGACTCTCCAGGTATCTGTTTCCTTCCCTATAAAGTGAGTCAGTGGTGCCTGGCCTGGCTAACTCTTTCAGGGAGAAAGTGTGGGTTTGCAGAGAAAGCATGGGCTTTCCAGTGTCCTGGGGGCTCTTCCATACACTGGCTGTGTGACCTAGGAAAAATTACTTGGCTTCTCTGAGCCTCACTTTACTCATCTGTACATTGAAAAGGAAAAAAATACACATGGCATGTATAAATGGGCGATGCCGGGCATCTACTAGAGGTACAACACATGTGGGATCCCTTCCCTGCTCAAAGGGTTGTGTGGGAGTAAAAAGCCCCTTCTCAGTAAGCCTCCCAGCCCATCCCTATCCAAAATGTGAGCCCCCACTGTTCCATCCCCACCTTGCTCATGTCCCCTTTTCTTCCATATTGCTGATCACTATCTAACATGTTTCTTACCTGGTTTATTGTCTCCCTCCCCCACTAGAATGACTATGCCTCTAGGGAGGGGGTTCGTGTCTGGATGGTTTCTTAATACATGCCGGAAGCCTGCAACAATGCCGGCGTGTGAATTTTCGTTGAATGCATGGAATGGAAGTGCTCTGGCTATTATGCTATTGGGTTACCAGGTTTCCTCTCTTCCACATCTCTGAAGCCAGTGAAATGCACACATAGTAGGCCTGCTGCTGCTAGAGAGCAGAGCCCCAGCAGGAAACAGTCCGAGCAGAGGCCCCACAGGAGACAGGAATCAAGGGAAAAGCCTATCAGGGGAGGCATGGAGCAATGAACACAGTCAAGAGCTGCTAGGTAGTAAGGTGAGAGCCTTCCGGGCTCTTCCACACCACAGCACAACAGAATAATGCTCCTTTCTCGCTCTCCACCTTACACTGGGCACAAGAGATGAATCCTCCACGCTCATAAACCAGCCGAGCCCATAAGAAAGCAATCCATGAAGTGTTAATAGCAGGGCCCCCAGAATTCAACCCCTCTGTCTTCCACTGCCTGATCTCAGCTTTCTGGGTTTCCCACTTCCTTGGTTTCTTAAGATTGCATCAGTTTCCATCGACTCGGGCTCCATGACCAATGCACACAGCATGGGATCCTCTTCCCAAGCTCCGAGCTTGATTTCATATTCACCCTCCAGTTTCATGCACCCAGTGCTTAGCTAAGAGGCACCCTGCACCCTGGCCCCGCAGGGGACAGTGGAGCAGAACACAGGCTTAAGGTCAGGTGGCCTTGGGTTCAAATCCCGAGTCCAGGAATCACCAGCGGGGCCACCCTGGTCGACTTATCTGAGCCTCAGTTTTCTCATTTGTACATTACAAGGACAAACATTCTCTTGCACAGTTGTTGTCAGCAGTGATTCTCAAAGCATGGTCTTTGGAACACCCATCAGATGAGATGCGTGAGAAAGGGTTTCGCTGTCAGGTGAGCCTGGCAAACGCGGACTATCACATCCCCGTCTGGGGGATTCGTGAAAAACATTAGATCCAGCAAGCTCTGAGAAAGCCGTGAAAGAATCTGTATAGCTTTGATCAACACAGTCTTTTCCAAGCAACAGAAATTTTTTGCAAGGCTCATGTACTAGCCTCCAGCGGAGCCAGCCTTCTCTGTAATGCACTTTGGGGAGAGCTGTCGTGGAGGCTTCAGTGAGATGCTAAGCACCTGGCCGCCCGCACGGCTGGGGCTCCCACACAGAGGACACTGAGCATGAGTGCCGCCGTCTGCACTCTTCCCCTGAAAGTCAGCAATGTTTATTCAAACCTTGCCCAGCTCGGCTACAAAAGAGCCTTTTAGGCTGTTGCGACAAGTCATTTTCCAGAAAACTGTTGTTGATCCCTTTACACAAAGGGAGAAACACATAAGTTAATGACGTGTGTACTTTTGCAGCTGAAATACGGGCACTCACAAGCCTAGATATGAAGAACGCTCGCTCCTGGGTTCCTGGGGAGTGACTGGTCCTACCTGTACCAGCAGGAGGTGGTGAAGTTGGGTAACTTGCCCAAAGGCGCAAAGGCAGAGCTCTTTCCAGGAACAGCCCCACCTTGCATACGCAAAGCAGAGTGAGTCCCACTGGACATGGGTTCAGATCTAAGTACTTTCAGGCCCCATAAAAAAGTCTGGCAATATATCCCAAAAGCCTTAAAAATCTTCCCACCTAGGAATGCCTCTTCCAGAATTACTATAAGGAAACCATCCAAAATGCAGACAAACTGATAATGCATAAAGATACTCATCACAACATTTTCATGGCCCAAACTGGAAACAACCCAGGGGCCCAACGGCTGGGGAATGGTTAAATCCACTGCGGGCTTTTCCATGTTAAATACCTCATAGCCATTTAAAATAATGTGTATAAAGGGTTTTGAGTGATATTGGGATACATTTATACTATAATATTAGGGAAATAAAATTGGCTACAGAAATAAAATACATCCATGATAATAACAGCTGTGTTGGTACACCGAGGAAGAAAAATTTACCCGTGTGTTAGGAGTGGTTATTTCTGAGCAGAGAATGAATGGATAAATGAATGAACAAATTTTCATTCCATTCTATAGGCTTTTCTATATTTTCTCCTTTTGTTCTACATGTTTTTCTGTATTTCCAGTTTTATACAATAGTGATCAGGAAAAGGTAAACATTTATTTAAAAACAAAAAAAGAGGGGCACCTGGGTGATTCAGTCCGTTAAACATCTGACACTTGATCTCAGCTCAGGTCTTGATCTCAGGGTCGTGAGTTTGGGCCCTACATTGGGCTCCATGCTGGGCATGGAGTCTACTTAGGAAGAGACAGAGAGAGACATGAAGCTGAGTTACCTACTAGAACTAAATGAAACACTATTGTAATGTCCAGAGAACCCCTCCCCCCGCAATCTTATGTTGGGGGATGCCACCCACCTGCCACCCACCAGTGTTTCTCAAACCCCAGGAAGTATCTGCTCCATGTGGTCATAAAGGAGGGCATTACCTTACACATTATTACTTAATATTTATATAGAAATCAACTCAGTTTTTTAACTTAAATGCATGTATTTTAAGGTAAATTTTTCACGACTCTACATGGGAACGTAGTATCCCTTTCCATTAATTATCCACAAAAATAAATGCAATAAAGCAAAACAACATTACCAAATTCTAGACTGGCAAAGCTTTCTGAGCCTCAGCCCTGTTTCTTCTCTGTTTAATAAAAAGTGGAGGCCAGGGAAGAATGTTGCCAGGGAAGAAGGGACAGATTAGCATTTGAATGTTATTAAAATGTCCTAGCCCAAACAGACCCCTTAAAGGAATCAGAAAGATTAAAAGATAATTAATTGAACATGATTTTCGCACTGGAAGTTTTGATTCATGTTTAATGATTTGCCCACGTAGCACCCAAACTGTCCACTCTACCCCACACTGGGGGCAGGTGCTGTACAGTATTCTAGAACCAGGGGGGTGTCTCCTGTGTCTGTGGTCACTCGCCCAGCTGGTTTTTGACTCAAGGGCAGGTGTTTCTACCATCGATGCCTTTCCTTTCCTCCTACCATTCCAAAGTCCGGCTCTTGTTCAAGACCTTGGTGTTTCCATCCTAAACTTGCTGATGCTGTGCTGGTTCCGATCTGAAACAGGCCTGGCAACTTAAAAAGGGCAAAAAAGGGGCACCTGGGTGGCTCAGTCGTTGGGTGTCTGCCTTCGGCTCAGGTCATGATCTCCAGGTCCTGGGATCGAGCCCCGCATCGGGCTCCCTGCTCACTGGGGAGTCTGCTTCTCCCTCTCCCTCCACCTCTCCCCACTGCTCCTACTCTCTCTCTCTCTGTATCTCTCTGTCTCAAATGAATAAATAAAAAATTCTTTAAAAAAATAAATAAAAAGGGCAAAAAGATACCATCAGTGCTGGAAAGTGGTGGAGGACAGAAAAAAGCTTAGTGAACTTAAATTCACTCATTATACAGACCGGGAAACAGAGACCCAACAGGAGGAAGGGGCTGATGAGCAGAGATAGGATTGGGATAGCATCCAGGCACCCGAATCCCAGTCCAATGTCACCTTTCCACTATACTCCACCTTAAGTTTGCTCAGAACCAGGAGAGGTTTGCCTACTCTGGAATCTCTTTCTAGCTGCAGGATCAGAAGTTATATTCAGAGACCAATAAAGAAGAGAAGAGGTCTTCCGGCAAGCGTTTCTCTTCGGGTCCCTTAAACGCCAGCGACCCCACGCCTCTCCTGACTGACACCCAGCTGTGGGCTTGCTTGGCTCAAGGAAGAATCACGGATCCGTGAGCTTCAGCAGAAGGTAGGGACCTTAGATCACTCATCTGACCTACATCTAAAGAGACTCTCCATTTGCTAGTGTTCCTGGTCCAACCACCTCATTTTATAGAAAATTTTATAGAAAAGGCTGAGTGCCAGGCAGGAAACATAACTTGTTTGAGATCACCCAGCTAGAAAGCAGCAGTGCTAAGACTGGGATGTGAGTCTTCTGGGTCCAAGGCCAGTGCTCATTTAAAAAAAAAAGTTTTAAAAATAAAATTCACTGGGGCGCCTGGGTGGCTCAGTCAGTTAAGCGGCTGCCTTCGGCTCAGGTCATGATCCCAGGGTCCTGGGATCGAGCCCCGCATCGGGCTCCCTGCTCGGCGGGGAGCCTGCTTCTCCCTCTCCCTCTGCCTGTGCTCTGCCTACTTGTGCTCTCTGTCAAAATGAATAAGTTAAAAAAAAAATCTTTAAAAAAAAAACTGATAAGAAATAAGTTCTCCAGGGGTGCCTGGGTGGCTCAGTCGTTAAGCGGCTGCCTTCGGCTCAGGTCATGATCCCAGGGTCCTGGGATCGAGCCCCGCATCGGGCCCCGTGCTCAGCGGGAAGCCTGTTTCTCCCTCTCCCACTCCCCCTGCTTGTGTTCCCTCTCTCGCTGTGTCTCTCTCTGTCAAATAAATAAATAAAATATTAATTAATAAATAAATAAATAATAAAATAAAAAACAAAATTCATTTGTAAGCTTGAGCAAGCAGAACTATAGTGCCGATAGGACTCTAAATAACATTCGTTCATTCAATCCATTCATTCAACCAATACTGATTGAATGAGATATGCCAATGTACGTTGACCAGGGGTACATGGCATAATGGCCTGGCGGCATCAAGGAGGATCCTCTTGAGGCTTGAGGTTGTGAATTTAAAGTGTGAGGCACCAGCATGACTGCACGCTTTTCTGGAACCTGGCTCGGCTACACGGGGTCAGGCGTGAAGTGAGCTGAGTCAGATCTAACCAAGGCTGTGGCTTTGCCAAAAGAGTGTGATGAGGTGAAGGGTTCGGGGAGTTGGGGGTTAGGCAATAATCATAGGATTTAAAAGTGAATCTTCTTTTAAAAACTTTTTTTTTAAACTTCACAAAATGAAGTTTGAAGCCTGGCTGCCATGCTGATTCAGGTTGAAATGGTGATATTGTCTTCTTTGTCCCAAAGCTGTCTTGAGGGTGTTTTGCTGGGGCTCGTCAGCTTGTTAGATGGGGGAGGTTCCACTTGACTTCAATCGTTGTTTGAGCCAGAGCTTCAGGACCTTCCTTCCTCCGGAAGGAGCCTTTTGAGACAAATCCAGGGTTCAGTCCAAAGCTCAGGAGCTGCAACTCAACTTATAAAGCCCTTTTATAGCATTGCTTTGCATAGGTAAATAGTTGACTTCCTATTTCTGGAAAGGACATATTTGTTCTCAAGGCTGCCTCTGTCCTGGGCACCCACTGGGCTGCTGGAAAACACAACCATTCCTCTCCTGACATTGTTTTGAAATAGCCAAGGCAGTGTGCACCCTTCAACCACAAAAAAACAACCGTGCACCGAAGCCACAATCCAAGCTGCGCTCGGTGTTGTATTCTGTGTGTCCCCTACCTCATCACAATACTCACCGAGAGTCTGGCCTCCTTTCCACTTATTGTGGGTACCCATGCAGGTTTCCATTGATGTCAGCAGTGGTAATGATTAAGTGGAAACACCCCACCCCATTCAAACGTCTCCCTTTCCCGGCCGATCCCCATTGTGAGCGAAGGTGCAGTGTGTCAGCCAACGTTTCTCCCAGAGCTTCAGCCAGAGTGCAAGTGAGGTGAACCTGGAGAAAATAAGGCCTTCTGACTCGAATCACGCCACCACCCTTTCAGCGCTCCAGATGTCGGCCTCTGCCCCCCTCTCGGAAGCGGCCAGCCTTGGAAGAGCCCAGAACAGATATTCCACTACGAAGTATGACAAATGCAGAAGGGTATGCGTTTATAAAAGTCCATCAGGATGTACACTTCGGATGTGTGCTTCTTACTGCATGTAAACTCTAACCCAATAGAAAACTTTTGGGAAAAGCAGAATTCTAGATCACGTTCTAACTAGTGTAGGATTTAGGGGTGGAGACAAGCAAGGATGCCATTACCCACTTTAAGATCCCGATTTTCTGGATTGCATTTGACAAGAAGACATCAACACAAGGAAGAATGGGTGCCTACTGTTGTTTCAAAAAAAAAAAAAAAAAAGACAATAAAAGGTCAGTAAGGCACCCCACCCCCTACTACTTGCTCTCACATTCTCAATCCCTCCAAGGGATTTAAAAAAGAAAAGCCCAGGAAATTCCAAGCATGACTACCTCCCCAGATAAGACAGAAATGGAAGAAAACCAAACTTTTTAAAGTAAGCATTTTGATCTTCATGCAAACATGGAGTTAATCTTGGGACAGCTAAGCACAATTACACAGATGAATTCATTGTGTGAAATGGTCATTGAGCGTAGAGAATGTTAGTGGCTGTTCAGAGTCCAAGCTCTGTAGGGGTCATACCTGAATCTGCTGAGTTGAGCACATGGAAACCTCAGTGTGCATTCAGGCTTGACCATTCTTTTTAATTTATTTCAGAGTTGCTCTCAGGGTGGCTTCGGGAAATGCAAATCGAACGTCCATAGTGGTGTCTGAAGACGTGCAGGGTTTTGACACGTGTTAAATTGCAACTATAAATAAAAATCTTTGGGCCTGTATTTACATATATTAAAGCTGTTCTTAAGATAATAAGATGATTTTTATAATCCCTTACTCTTCAAATCAGCTTTTATTCATACAGAGAGGACGCAAGCGTTAGACTGGACGTGATGGCAGCTGGGTTCTGGCTCCGGTTCCGTCTCAAATTCTCCAGGAGTCCTGGGGTCCTTCCTTTGTGGACTCAGGGCCTCCCCACCTGTCAGCTGAGGAGTTTGGACCACAGGGTCTGGCTCTTAGTTCTGAGGCTGCAACTCAATGGAGTTTGGAAATACCACTTTATCTCCAGGATTTTATTCTAAGCAAATTGGATATATTTCTACAATGTAAAATACATGTGACTCTACAGCCTGATTGGCCTCCCAAACCCACATACTTGGGGCCACAGTTGGAAAGAACTCAAGTCTTTGTTTTAAACACCTGTCCCTGGTCCCACCAAGAGAAAACTCTAAACTCCTCAAGTATCATTGGCCATGGTGAACGTGCAAAATTCAGCACTACAAAGGAACCACATTCCTGAGAGGTTTCTTTCCATGTTTATAACAGTGAAATGTGTGCCCTGAAAGAGGCCTTAGCAAGCATGGAGGCCCAGAGAGATTAATCAGCTTGCCCAAGATCACACAGGAAGCAGGAGGGAATGAGGACTGAAACCTAAGTCTCCTCACCCCCAGCCTGGTCGGGACTCCTGCACATGCCCTCAGGAGTTAGAAACGCTCACCTTTTGGATTTATCTTTCCCCATTTACCTACACCCTTCACAGGGCATGGAAATGTTGAGTTTTGTCTTTTAGAGTTCCAGCTTGGTGAAATTCACTAGAGAAGTGGATATTGAGGAAAAACTCCCGGTTGCCTAATCTGTAGGAGAGTGTCACAGAAGAAATGTTGGGAGCTGTCTCTTCCTTGTCCCCAGAAGCACAGTAACTAGGAGACAAGAGAAGGAAAGGCGGCCCGGACCCCTCAGGAACCAAGCAGGTGCAGCCTCGGCTGGAGACGTCTGTGCCGACATCCTAAGTTTGAATCAGAGCAGGGCCCTGGTGTGCTGGTGGAGCTTGGGCCTTTGGAAAACAAGTTGGAGTAAAACCAAACCTGGGTATGTCCCACAGCATCCCCTGATCTCTCATCTTTGGGAAAGGGACTCCCATTTCCAGCATTCTTAAGTGCTTGAGCTGTGGGCGCCTGGGTGGCTCAGTCATTAAGTGTCTCCCTTTGGCTCAGGTCATGGTCCCAGGGTCCTGGGATTGAGCCCCGCATCGGGCTCCCTGCTCAGCGGGGAGCCTGCTTCTCCCTCTCCCACTCCCCCTGCTTGTGTTCCCTCTCTCTCTGTGTCTCTCTCTGTCAAATAAATAAATAAAATATTAAAAAAAAAATGCTTGAGCTGCCAACACATCTGTCTGCCAAAGTCAGGGCTCGTGCACAAAGCGCCACACCTCTACTCAAACGCACTTGAATTTGGGGACCATGTCTGCTACATGTCCTCTGGGGAGGGAAGGCAGGGCCTGGAGGCAAGGACAAGAGCTGTCAGCCAGAGCGGGCAGAAATTATGCTGAGTCTGAGAGAAGCTAGCCTGGCTCGGAGGATAAGGCACACCACCTGTGAGCCCGGCTTCACTGCTATCAAGCTGTATGACCCGGGCAGGAAACTGTTCCTGTTTCTTCATCCGTGAGATGGGGAGAATCCTACCTCCTGAAAGCATTGCCGAGGGGACTGGAGGAGAAAATTCCCTTCCTCCACCCCTTTCCTTAGCAGGCTCTCTGTTGAGAGATGTCGCCATTTGCTGAGCACCCATTAGCCCATCTTATCCTCACAACTGAAAGCGTTGAAAGATATGGTGTCCAAGGTAGGATGCCACTTTGACACCCAAGCCTCCCCCATCCCAAACTGATTACTACCGTCACTCGTGAGACAGCCACGTGGCATGTGGCTCACTGTGCATTCTCTGGCATCTGTCGGATGACTTCCATCTTCCATCACTTCCGTTCCCAGTGTCCTCTCCTGTAGATGACACTTATCCCTAACCCTCCTAAGTAGGAAGAGCAGCGTCCCCTATCTGAAAGAGGAGGGGCCATGCTGGCCGTAGCAAAATTCCGTGTCTTCAGCCCTACATGCCCCCTTCTCGCCTTCTCCATATACATAGCCACCCAGTTAACTCACACCATCCTCATACTGGACACTGTGGGCCATCAACAAGGTTTGGGTGCAGAAGGTACCTGTCGGGTGTCAACCTGGCTCTGCCGCCCACTGCCAATCCACTTTCTCGCTCCGAGCTTCAGTTTCCCCATTGGGAGAAAGAAGGATCTGGATGAGACGTCTCTCAAGGGCCACTCCAGCTCAAATCCTGTGTGGCTAGCGTGTGACAAGAGTTTTCTTCCACCAGAGAATGCTGCTTTTTCCTAGCTCCCAAATGTAACAAGGACCCTTCCACCCCTTCTAGGTCGTTCGGACTTTCTTTACAAAGATCTCATTCTCCCAGGTTTCTGAGGCCCCCTGCCACTCAGAAGCCAAAATTATCCCAATGTCAGCAGCTGAAAGCAAATCAGATCAAAAAGCATCCCTGTGCCTCAACTGAACACAATTTCTGCTTTGAACCCTATGCCAAGTCTAGGGCTTATCAGCCGGAGTGTGTGTGATTACCATATGAAAGAACTCTCTTGGATCATATTTAAAAGAATCCTCTTTTCAATTTAGATAAAAAAAAACACCCAGTCCTCCAGAAAATACATATAAATTCCTCTCTAAATGTCCAGACAGATTAATGCCCATAGAAGATGTAATTATCTCCTTCTAGGATAAAGGAATCTTCCTGCTATCAGGGAGAGCCAAGAAGCCAGAACGTTCTGCTCGAGACTGCAACAGGGCCACCACAGAAGGTTGTCCAAGTTGTTCACTGCGCAAGAGTGCTCCACTGATGAGGAAGGGGGGAGGCGGAGGGGGGAGGGTGACTTAAACTCAGCCTGGTGTCCCGTGCAAGATTATGTCAGTTCAAAGGGAGGTGCATGTATCTTTTTGTAATTCAGCAAAGGCCTTTGCCAGAGTGCCTGTTGCAGGGTTTCTGAGCAGTTTCGCTTTTCCTTTATAACACTCAGGTTGCACTTTGCAGTAATGCGTGTAGGTGATGTGATTTGCCTCTGTCTGCTGACTAGCCTGTAAGCTATGTGAGGTTAGGCTGTGTTGGGTTTTGCTCTTCTATCCCTAGGACAGTGTCTGGGGCACAAGGCACGAGCTATGAATGGACGGAAACAATCTGAACCGAAGGACATGGGTCTTGCTCTTCTGCATCCCTTTCTGCCAGGCCTACGGGGTGTCTGGGCACAGTGGCATGTGGTCTCCATGACCTAAGCCCCGTGCCCAGGCCCAGGGGACACAGACTAGACAAGAGATACCCAACCCTGGCCTGGCATCCAAAACACACGTGAAGACTTAAAAACACAGCTTCCCAAGCCTCGCCCCCAAAAGATTCAGGCATCTAGGATTTATATTTTTAACAAGGTCCTCCAGGTGATGCTAAATTGCCTATCAGGGTTCAGAACCCACAGATATTGTTGCAATAGATATAAGGAATCTTGGATACCAAAGAGAAGGAGCTTGAGGTCCAGCCAGAAGTTTCATGGTAGGCTTTCTGGTGGAAATGGTGCCTCAGCCGGGTCTTGGCAAATATGAGCTAGGTGAAAAAAGGAGAGAAGGGCATTCTGGGTGGAAGGAACCACATGAACAGAAACAGAAACAGGATATGCAAGGGGTGCACTTCTTGGGGGAGGGCAGGGGGACTGAATCAAAATACAAGGACTGGGCTCCTGGCAGGCAATCAAGCATAAGTCACCCACGTTTCAGCTGGGTTCCCAGAACCCTTCTGGGTGGGAAGCCCGCGTTTCAGCAACCCCTATTTTTTTTATTATGTTATGTTAATCATCATACATTACATCATTAGTTTTTGATGTAGTGTTCCATGATTCATTGTTTGCATATAACACCCAGTGCTCCATTCAATATGTGCCCTCTTTAATAACCATCACCAAGCTAACCCATCCCCCCACACCCCTCCCCTCTAGAACCCTCAGTTTGTTTCTCAGAGTCCATAGTCTTTCAAAGTTCATCTGCCCCTCCGATTTGCCCCCCTTCATTTTTCCCTTCCTACTATCTTCTTCTTTTTTTTTTTTAACATATAATGTCTTATTTGTTTCAGAGGTACAGATCTGTGATTCAACAGTCTTACACAATTCACAGTGCTCACCATAGCACATACCCTCCCCAATGTCCATCACCCAGCCACCCCATCCTCCCACCCACCCCTACTCCAGCAACCCTCAGTTTGTTTCCTGAGATTAAGAATTCCTCATATCAGTGAGATCATATGATACATGTCTTTTTCTGATTGACTTATTTCGCTTAGCATAACACCGTCTAGTTCCATACATGTCTTTGCAAATGGCAAGATTTCGTTTGTTTTTTTTAATTGATGGCTGCATAATATTCCATTGTATATATATATACCACCTCTTCTTTATCCATTCATCTGTCGATGGACATCTTGACTCTTTCCACAGTTCGGCTATTGTGGACATTGCTGCTATAAACATTGGGGTGCATGTACCCCTTCTGATCACTATATTTGTATCTTTGGGGTAAATACCCAGTAGTGCAATTGCTGGGTCGTAGAGCAACCCCTATTTTTAAATCTGGCTTCCTTCCTATTTTTGGTTCCATTTGCCTTCTTGCTTTTTCTTATCCTTTCTCTAGTGAGACCGCGACCTCGTGGGATAGCCTCCCGAACCCTGTGCCATCGGGGCCCTATTGCCAGGGCTTCCTTGATAAATGGGCTTGACTTCAGAATTCCAAACTGTCCTGCCTAGAAATACAAGCTTGCTGCCGTTGGCAGGATGGTAGTACCCACAGGCGCCACGCGCACCACACGTGGCAGGAAAGGGTCTTTTTACTTGATGCAAAAGCAATGTCAAGAGTATGAAGTTCAGGCCCCAGAGGGGTCTGCAAGTCATGATTCATTCCTTTCTATTTGGGGCCCAGAATGGGGTGGTCACGTTGGGAATGGCCAAGGGGATGCAGCTGGGGTGGGAGGGTAGATCCTCAGAGACCTGTCTTTGCTGGAGTGCGAGCCGTCTACGAGCGACGTGCTGCAGGCTGTAGGCACCTCTCACCCCACACCCCACTCCGGACTCCCAGCTAGCCTTCCGCGTCTTTCCATCGCCTTCTCTCTCCTTCCTGTCCTCCCCTCCCATATGGCTCAGCTGACGGGCCTGGGCTGCATTGGCAGGCTGATACTCCCTCCTAACTGGACTTTTCACACTGGACGTTTCCCATAAGCTCAGCTGTTGTCGGGAAAGGTCTTCTAAGACCAGCGAATCTGCTGCAGAGAGGAGAGTCCCTGGCACAGTTTGCGTCTCTGTTCTGTCCAGCCGGCCTCTAGAGAAGCCGAGCGGATGTGAGGCTCGCGGCCTCCGCACCAAGCTGCAGACCAGGCGTCTTCTGCGCGACGCCCCGTGCCACAGTTCAGTGCCACCCCACCGAAGCCTGAACTATCTTGTCTGCCGTCCGGTTATCAATTAATCTCCTGTCATCAGTGATTAACTTATTCAAGCCACGGGAGCTGCTGAACCAAAACAGCCCCTTGGGGTGAGTCTCCAACATCGTGCTGCATGTGGAGCTGCCTGTGACCCTCATCCCTCTGGCCCTTGTGCTGTGTCAGCAGGGGATCAGGGACAGCCAGGGACAGGGGTCCCGCTCGGGGCACTGCCGCACCGGAGCTCTCCCCACAGTCCTCAGAGTGCAGATCCTCATCGCAAGCTTCTAGGTTCTGTTTTCTCTGTGTGTTTGTCTGCCAAGAAGCCTTTAGAAACGGGCTTGGGCGGGCCTATTCTCTGGGGGCATATGTCAAGTGACTCCAACCCCCTGAGACTGATATGGAAGAAAAGGGAGTCAAACTGTGGGATGTGCTGGGTGTTGAGGAGACCAGGGATCACCTCTTCAAGCATACACTGTTGTAGCCAGAAGAAGCCTTGGAGGTCACTGATTCCAACTTCCGGATTCTATGGACACCAAGAAAGAGGGCTTGACTCACCCAAGGGGAGAGGCAGAACAAATGTCCACTTATGTTTATATGTCAGATAAAGGCTTTCTTCACCACGGTGGGGGCAGGGGACATACAACTCTCTGGAAAAAAGGCAAGGGGATCCTTCCTTATACCACTTTTATCATGTGAGGGTCTCAAAAGAAAAGCTTCTCTGTCGTTGTTTTTCCGAGTAATCCTGGCCGACTTGGTCTCATTTCTTGGTTGTAGGGCTTCTCACAGCAGTTTAAAAATGATGCCTTTATTCACCTCTGTGGCCATCCCCCTATAACCCATAACCCCAGTCTAACCACGAGAAACCTACAAAAACAGACAAACCCCAACTGAGGGACATTCCACCTGACCAGTACCCTTCAAAACTGTCAAGGTCATCCAAAACAAGGGAAGCCTGAGAAAGCATCTCAGAGCAGAGGGGCCTCAGGAGATGTGGCGATTAAAGGCACTGTGGGATCCTGGAACAGGAAAAGGCCATTAGGGAAAAACCAGTG